ATATCTAGGGGACACAAGAGCTTTGCAGCCCACGCATGCACCACTGAACTATCCGATTGTTTTTGTATGTTGTTTCACATGTCAAAAACTATATATTATACTTTTTTGGTTTTTTCAATTATCAATTTAATGATTTTTTCTTTTTCGAAAAAAAACTGCATATAGAAAGGAAAAAAGGACCTATGAGAAACTAATAGAGAGTGATGAATATTCTCTTTTAGAAAGAGAGCATATATAGCAAAAAATCAACTACAAATGACGCACAGCTACCGAGTTTCGAACCCATATATCCAGGGGACACAAGAACTTCGCAGCCCGCGCACGCACCACTGAACTATCCGATTGTTTTTGTATGTTGTTTCACACGTCAACAACTATATATTTTACTTTTTTGTTTTCTTTCAATAATCAATTCAATGATTTTTTCTTTTTTGGAAAAAAGCTGCATATAAAAAGGAAAAAAGGACCTATGAGAAACTAATAGAGAGTAATGAATATTTTCTTTTAGAAAGAGAGCATAAATAGCAAAAAATCAACTACAAATAACGTGCAGCTACCGAGTTTCGAACCCATATCCAGGGGACACAAGAGCTTCGCAGCCCACGCACGCACCACTGAACTATCCGATTGTTTTTGTATGTTGTTTCACACGTCAACAACTATATATTTTACTTTTTTGGTTTTTTCAATTATCAATTTAATGATTTTTTCTTTTTCGGAAAAGAGAACCTATGAGAAATTAATAGAGTAATAAATACTCTTTTAGAAAGAGAGCATATATAGAAAAAAATCAACTACAAATGATGCGCAGCTACCAAGTTTCGAACCCATATATCTAGGGGACACAAGAGTTTTTTTTTTTTTTGATGAAGTAAGAAGGGTACACAAGAGCTTCGCAGCCCATGCACGCACCACTGAACTATCCGATTGTTTTTGTATGTTGTTTCACACGTCAACAACAATATATTTGTTTTTTGAGTTTTTAGTACAAATACAGGTCTACGCAAAAGCTACTTGGTTCACCCGAACCCCATGTTACACTATAGATCCAGCCCTGGACAGGAACAAAGCATAGAGCATAGTCCCTGGTCTTGTTCCTGCCGAGCCTGGATAACAATGCCTATAAAATATCTCTCTCCGATTATTTCTTCATTATGCATTGAGATACAATCTTTGATGCAAATATTGACAAATAAGCAGCAAATTGAGTACAAAAACAAGTTAACACCTCACTTGAAGGCAGAGACCAGAGTGGTTCCCAAAACCAATTAATGAAGCCAGAAACAGGCAACCAATCATATTCTGATCTAGAACTTCAGAAACAGAATTATCAAAATTCATGACATGTAAACTGATAACAATTAAAATATGAACCAAACGAAAATGCTCACTGTCACAGTGTTTACTGAGTCCATACAACAAATGAAATCCATTTTCTTGGTGAAACATATTCCTTTTTCTTTTCTCTCATTTCTATCGTCAATGCTTTTGGAGTTTCAATAGCTAGCTAATTTGAAAACATTCTCTTATATATGTATATGCAAGATGAATAAATAACCAAAAATAAAATAAAATCCAAGTCTATCCTTTTTTACTGGAAATAGCATATAAAGACAACAAAACTTGGAACATTAGATAAGGTACTACAACAAAACTCGTGTTTTTACCATAAAGCAACAAAATTGGGAAAAAGAAAAGGGACAAAAAGGAAAAGAGGATAGATACCTGTAAGCCACTACCAATCATACGGTTAACGGCATTGTTTCCACCTCCACCGACGCCGACGACCTTAATCTTAGCAGAATCCATCGGAGTAAATGAACTTGAAATGCTGAAACGTTGAGGCCGGCAAAAACTTTTCCGGCGAACTCCGGTGAAGAAGCATTGTTTAGGAATGAAGGAAGTATGTAGCCTGTGGGAAAAAGTTAAGGAAGAAGAAGGAGAAGAAGCTAATTCTGCTGGATTTGAGAGCCCTAAAATCGCCATTGTTGCTTTCTCTGTATTTTTGTTTACACAAAATTCAATAGTGTTGTTTTGTAGGGTTTTAGATTTTTTCAAACAAATAAATATTTTGTTCTTTTACTCCTCTCACTTTCCACTTGTATATGGACTATGGTACACATAAATATGAGGAAAGCTTCTTCTTTTATTTCCCTTTTTTTTTAAATGTGGTATTTGTAAATCGAGATTTGAAACTTATGAGTTTATTCTCAAAGTTACAAAGTTGTATAGATGTAGTTTATTTTTAAAATACGTATAAAGTTAGAATCAAAGCTATTGAGTTCAACTGAAATTGACATTGTAGCTCTGTTTCTGGATGGTGCAGGTAACGTACACGCTCATAGGCGGAATTAAAATTTGGAATCGTATTAATTTGTGGTTTTAATTTTGTGAAGTTATTGGGTTCAAAATTAGTAATTTGTACATATGAATGAACATTTTAAAAATAAATGATGAATTTGAATCAGCTACTGAGTTCGATCAAACTTGCAATTTATGTTTTAGTGTTGCCTCTGCATGGTGCAAGTACCTTATACACACTCATAAGCGTTTGAAACGTATTAATTTGTGATCCTAGTTATATGAACTTATTGAGTTTAAAATTAGTAATTTATACATGTCCAATGAATGTTTAAAAATAAATGACGTTTAAATTAACTATTACGTTCGGCCTAACTCCGCCACATCAGGAGTAGAAATGGAGGGAGTATTTAAATAGATAAATGGATGAATTTGCTTTATGTACAAGTTCACTTGGATTACATTTTCTCATTTTATTTATCTTGTGTTAACATTATTTATTTTTTCAAACAATTGGAGTAAACTTAAAATGATAAACAAATAAAGAAAAAAAAGTATAGAAAACAAACAAAAAAAGAAAGCTAAAAATAGGCGAGAGGTGGTGGGTTGAAAAAGAAGGGACATGGAGTGAGCTACAAGGATATTTTAACAAAGGGAATTTGCAAAAAAAAGTACCATAAATACATTATTAGTATAGCAAAAAGTTTTATGCTGAACAAGATAAAAACAATATGGAAATGAATGTTTAATGTTTTATGTTTAATCTGAAACAAGTATAAACAAAACAATAATTTAATCTTGTATCCGTAAGATTGAATAACATATAAACAAATAGCCGAACATAAGACCATAGTCTAACGTTATTCAGAAGGATGATTTCTAAAATGCTGTATCTACGAAACTTCTAAAAATAGAGATAATATCTAAAGGGGAATTTTCACATATAGCCACTCAAAAATAGCCTAATTACTCTCCATAGTTATAGTTTGATAATTACAATTCGTAGCTACATGTTATATGGAGGAGAGAGGCGAGCGAGACTGGGAGAGAGAGGAGAGAGGCAAGAGAGAGGGGGCAAAGAGTGGGAGAAAGGTGAATTGTATATGTATATAGGTTAGATAATTGTATATTATACATATGTATTTGTATAT